TGCAACATTTCTCCAAATTTACTTCAGTATAATTCATTCATTCATTCATTCATTCATTCATTTAATTATTTACTCATTTAAATATCAAAAAAATTAAGTACCTACTAGGCTTAATTACTGTGCCAGTACAGATGTGATAATCTACTCAAGAGTTATGAGCTCAAAGAAACCACAAAGTGTATCTTACTCTAATTGCACAGCTGCTTCTCTTTAAAATCTTTTGTTTTTAAGACTATAACTCAAATATCTAGACAATTCCAAATACCCATATTTGTGATGTATGTTACTTTTAGCTCTTGGGATATAATAAATCTTTATTGTTTTTTACTCATCCCACTGGAATATCTACAGTGTAGCTATTAGTGGCTTCTCTGTACAATTTAGGAAACGTAGCCTCAGAGAAGTTAAATAACAAGTTTAAGGTGTCACAGCTATTTCATTATAGTGCCAGTGTCTGAACTCAAGCCAATCTGACTCCAGAGCGACATCACCCTGCTCAATTCTAGTCCAATCCAGATGCTCACAAACAACCAGATTGCATCTGGGGGTGTGGGCAGTGCTTATGGGCTGAAAAGGAGATCATGGTCAGCATCAGACTGCCAATAAAGCAAGCTGGGAGAAGCTTTATGAAGTCAACCAACTAGATAGAGTGTACTAAAGATGGTAGGATTGCTCATATATATGGATTACTTGCACCCTGAAGAATGAACTCCTAAATATCCCTGAGTTAGTCCAGTCTAGGTAAGAGTAAACAGCAGCAGGCTGTGACAGCTGGTGTGCATGATTGACCCCTTTGCAGCTGGGTATCTAATATCATTAACAACCACATCTCATGTAATACAGAGATATACAGTTTCTAAATGAATGCAACATAAAACTCTTCTGCAGTCTGATTCAATTTCATTGTCATTTCTGTCAGGTAGGCAGGGCCAGTGTGAGCATGCTGATTATGTGGGTGAGGGAACTGAAATACAAGAGGTTCCCTGAATTCAAAGTCCACCAGGTAATCCTTGGTGCCAGAACCAATCCCTAGGTTTTCTGAAGTCAATCCAGCATTCTATCATTTCTCACTGCCAGTAGAACTAGCGTTGCTTTCTTTGACTTTTCTTAGTCACCCCTGTGGTTTTACACCATTCCCTCCTTGTCATTAAATAACTCTCAGGCAAGGCAGAAATTCCCATGAAAACAGAAAACAAATGTACCAAAGAGTTAATGGTGTAAGAGAGAAAAGAGATAAGGAGAAGGCATGTTGCAAAGTGGTGTCCATTACTGCAAAAGAGAAAAGGGATATATTGGGAGGAAAGGAAAAGAGAGAAAATGAAAACTTCGGAGTCAGTTCTGAAGTAGTGAGGAGAACAAATGTTACATGTGCACCTGAACCTCTTCAATAGGTATCATCCGGAGGAGTTGCATATAAGGCAAACAAAAGTGTAACTGTGGAAATTGTCTAGCCTTTGGGGTCCTACTGGGAATGATTTTTCAAAGTGAAGAAAACTCTGATCAACCTCTAGTTCGTTTCTGGAGAGGACTTTCCCCAGCTATACCCCAAAAGCTTGAGAATATCACACCAGCATAACCCTGAGACAAATTTTGTTTACTAGGAAAATTTGCTTAAAGAGAAACATTAAAATTTGTTTAATTCTACTGCAGGGACATGTGGCATTCTCATTATGACCTTCTATTGTAAGTTGGTAAGACTAAACCTTTCTGCATCTATTGCCAAAGGAGGAAGGAGAGCATTTTCTTAGGGTTTTGAACTAGTTCAGTTGAAATCTGACTGAAAAAGGCAGCACCAGAGACTGTATCTTACTTACTTTGTTTCTTTCTCTGCACCTAACAACGGTTTTTTTTTTGATGATTAGTAAAAGGTGCTGTATTTTATTTAGATATTTATATTTAGATATATCTGGATATTATTCAATAAATTTACACTATTTTAATAAAGACATTTGAAGACACTGTACATTAGAAAATTGGATCAATTTGACTTACAATATATTTCCTTCTAGTTGAAAACTCACAGGCTCCAAAGCAACTGTTTTCTGTTTGAAAAAAATTCAAAAATCACACAGAAGCAGTGGCCCTGATCCCCATGCTTTTATTTATGTGTGGTTAAAGTTCAAATTTCTCAACATACCATAATCTCAGTGTAACTGGCCAAATTCCATGGTGGATAATTAGATCTAGCTTAGCAGGGCATATTTGGATGGAGAGAGCAGTCACACTGTACTTCTGGGAGTCTATTAGCCAAGTTTACTATGTTTGATGAGTGGTTGGACTCACCTCACTTGCTGACTGGACTAGCCCAGCAGGTTCTACGGGTGAGATCACTGCTTGGCTCTCTCATTGCTAGGCCTGGTGGGTGGAAGAGGAACTGAAATAAATGGCCTGACTTTGGATTTCAGAAATTCTCTTTCCTATTCCCTCTCCCAAATGCTTTCTTCTGCCAACTCTCTAGGGACTGAAGCATTCATTTCCAAAATCATGTATTCATTCATTCAACAAATATTTACTTAATACCTATAATGCATCAGGCACTGACCTAGGCTTTAGAAATATAATAGTGAACCAGACATTTCCTGCCTTTGAGGATCTATGATCAATAATTATAGTACACAGTGAAAAATATTACCATTCGCAGAGCTCAATAATCCAAGTCTCTTAAAAAACAGAAAGTGCACAAATGCTCTTTGGAAAGGTATGGCATGGAAGAGTATCTATAGATTTGAACACATAAAATTCATGGATGTGTGAAGACTTGTTCATCTGTTTCACTGTGAGTCCAGAGTAAACCCCACCCTCCCTGCCATACCCCCCAACTTTGTCTTGGAGAAGGCCACCACTGCAGCGCTGCTGGAAGCACCACTCTCAGGGGTCTCAATCCACATTGTCTTTGAGTGTCTTCAGCATGTTGTCTCACAAGTACTCAGACCCAGTAGTAAGATTAAAATATTCTACCATAATGTTCACCTTGGCCTTATCACGTTAAAGAAAGAAAAGCAGGTATGACTGAACTTACTTCTCAAAAAGCCCTTATGCTTCAGCAAGAGTCTCTGAAGTCTCTTTTGTTACGTAATCGTACAAGAATGATTGATGCTAAATGATATTCTTAAATCCTCCTAATCAATTACATTTATAATATTTATGATTAGGTAATGTGTTGCCTTGTTTATGAAATATGTACATGCTTTGAAAATCTATTTACAATGAGTTTTTATGACATTCCTATTAATAGGCTGTCATTGTAACACTATTATAACATTGTTTATATAGGAATTTTAATCCCATCTGTTTCTTTTAATTTTTAGCTCCCTCCCCAACCAATTGTAAAGGGCTATCAGGTCTGTACTTTATACGATTGTGAAGCTTTATGTTATTTGTTGGTATAATATCCACATTAATCATTCATTTAACAAAGCAGTATTGAATGCTACTATGTGCTTAGACTCTTCCAATGTTGTGAAGAGTGAGTGGTTAAGTTTCTCCAAATATATTTGAAATCTAAAAGTTTTTTAATCCATGCATTTAAAACATTGATAAAGATTGTCTCATATTCACACGTTTTTCTCAATAGTAAGAAATTGTTGGTGTTGAATAAGGTATGAATTACAGTTTAAGCCTTGTCCATATTTGCTGCCTTTGTAAGATATTTTTCTTCAGTAAGAGCTCTCTGAATAAGGGGAATGTTCTGATTAAAGACACACACACACACACACACACACACACATTTTAATTACCTTCAAATTTAGGTAGCTTTCAGTTGTTGAGCACATGTTAACATACTGACCCAGATGGAGACTGAATTTTCCCTTAAGAGATTTGTAATGCAGTAGGCGAGAGATTTGCCTCTTTCAAAATGTGGCACTCCTTCCCTACTTGTTAGATTGTGAAAGCAGTTGTTTATGCTTTATTTGTTTCCCAAACTTCAGTTGTTGCTGTACCATCTTTATAATTTTTGCTATATTCACATACCACCTGTACTATTGTGCTTCTGTAAATATACTACTATTTTTAACTTAATTACATTTATTTAATAATAATAATATTTGTTAAAACACTAGGTTAATGTGATAGCTGTAATATTTTCAAATATACTTTAATATAAATATATGACTTCTAAATTAAATATTTTTGTGTGTGTCTGTGTGCACCCCCAAGTCTTCTCAAGTGCTCTTAGTACTACACATATCATACTTTGGGAAGCTCTATATGTAGGAGTTACCTTTGAAAGTGAGGAATGGCAGAAAAAAATAAAATGAATAAATAATGATAATAACCGTAGCAACGGTAACAAGAGCTATTATTTATTAAAGGCTTTACATGTGTCATTTAATTTTATCTTATTTAATCTCTGCAACTCTCACAGGCATGCCTATCACAATGTGAAGCAAAAGGGCAGGAAAGAGGGAACAGTGGAATTGAAACTTCATTTTGCATAGAGCAGCTGTAACTAGTACATGCCATAATATTTTAGTATTTATTCTTTAGTTAGCTGAGATTTCATACCTGATTATTTTACAAAAATTGGAGTGTGATGGTGGCAGGTTAAAACACTTTTTATCAAATATATTTGCTGTTAGTCAAACAGAATAATAATCTCAGAAAAAGGATGTTAGTGTCAATTAAACCCATTCTAAGAATGCAGGATTAAGTGGAAGAAATCAGATTAAAATACTTTTTTTTTTTTTTTTTGGCTAATTGTTTTTTGTTTCTCCAGTTTCTAATCAGTGAGAATATCTTTGTCCTACTGAAACAAGGCATTTGTTCAAAAGCCTCTGCATTCTCTGGTACAAGTGCTTAATCTATTAAAGGCAAAATTCTTCTAGCTCTCTGCTAAAAAGTAGTGAAATAAATATTTTTATAAACATATTGTCACAAAATATTAAAGCTGGAAGAGCCCTGAGGATATGTATATGTATATTGTTGCTGCAACTATGTATAAATGCAACTGATTCTTTGCATTCATTTATATGCTGGTATAAGTGTTTCATCCTCACAAGTTTTATAGGGGAAGTCTGGATGCTGGTGGAGCAGTGAGAAAAAAGAACTTATTTTACCTCTGACTTGAGCACTGAAAAGATACACCTTCACCACTGTTGCAACTCCATACTTCTAAGAACTGGTGAGTTGAAGAACATTGTGTCTCCATTAAAGAAGATATATTGTAAAACATAGCTAATGATGAGACAGCAACAACAACAAAAATAGAAAAAGGATCTACTATGTAACTGCTTCCTAAGTATTCTCCCTTTAAGGAGATTTTGAGATCCAGCTTTTTTGTGGTTAGACACTGTGAGAAAATATTGTTGGAAACACCAAGGGTGATGTAAGTCATTGGGTATATTTTAGAGCTGGATTTCATCATCAGCTAGCTTGTCACTGCCATCTTATAAATGTGTTTTTGTACTAACTCCGTTGCCCCAGGTAGTCGCGTGCCTCTGTAAGAAATCTCTCAGCTGTGGCCTTCTCTTGGAGGGAGGGAACTGGCCAAAGGGTGCATATCAACCAAAGCTCTTCATTATATTGGCCTAATTGATCCTACATTTCTCAGCAAATCTCTCTTTCTCCTTCTCTTTTGCATAACTCCAGTGGAATCATTTCCACTGAATTACATGGAAGAGTCTGTTCATGGGGCTAGCCTGACAGTTAGGTTCTCTGTTGGATTTTTAGCTTTCACAATTTCATAATTTGCATATATTCTTTTCTTGGAGGCATATTTCATTCTTGGGTCCTTTAAAGAGTTAAATGTCTTTAATTGCCTCTTTTAAGGTTTTACTGTTTTTTTTTTCTGGATAATTTTTGGGGATATATCTAGTAACCAATCCATGTCAGGGAAGCAGTAGGACAAATAAATGAATTTTGAACCACCTTGGTTGATGGAATAAGATATTTGAGAGAACATTGGAGAAGTGAGGGGGTTGGAGGGGGATATATTAAAATGTTCTATTACTCTTGCCCTAACTCTACCCCTTTGTCATTTTGGTGGCCATTTTTTTTTCTGGCTGCATTGGGTCTTTGTTGCTGGGCACGGCTTTCTCTAGTTGCGGGGAGCGGGGGTTACTATTCCCCTTGCAGTGCACGGGCTTCTCATTGCGGTGGCTCCTCTTGTTGTGGAGCACGGGCTCTAGGTGCGCCAGCTTCAGTAGTTGCAGCACGTGGGCTCAGTAGTTGTGGCTCACGGGCTCTAGAGAGCAGGCTTAGTAGTTGTGGCACATGGGCTTAGTTGCTCTGTGGCATGTGGGATCTTCCCGGACCAGGGATCGAACCTGTGTCCCCTGCATTGGCAGGTGGATTCTTAACCACTGTGCCACCAGGGAAGTCCTTGGTGGCCATTTGACCTGAAGAAATATTAATTACAAATCTAGTCTTATTTGAAAATGAAAATCATAACAGTGTTTACCTCATAGGGATATTGCAAGATTCAAATGAAATAATTTGTATAAGAGGTGTGGCACTATGTTTTCCATTCTATAAGGGCTCAGTAAATATCAGCTATCCAACTATTACTACTCTCAATTCTGAATTCCTATTGTTCAAATCTTTCCCAGTTGGAGTTTTAAAATAAAATCTAATAACTAGGCTAATATGCTATGTGGTTCCTCTAGGGTTCAAGCATTACTGTGAAGGATATTAGAAACCTTTCCTGAGTCAGCACTGCTTTTGAGGATAAAATTGGGATACCTATTTGGAATGTATTTAACTCCAAAGAAATGGTCTGAGGTAACTGGTGGGAGATAGGACACAAAAACCTTTTAGACATCCTAATTGAATTAATCCTAATTGAATAAAATTCCTGAACAGCTCATTGCCACATCTGAAGAACAATTTGGGTCTAAATGAGACTGACCAGAGAATATAGGAAAAGTTCCTTCCTGCTCTTTTAGAATATATTTGTTTATATATTGAAATACAGATGATGCACAATATGTTAGTTTCAGGTGTACAACATAGTGATGTAACATTTACATACATTATGAAGTAATCAGCATAATGTCTAGTAACCAACTGTCCCCATACAAAGTTACCATAGTATTACTGACAATATTCCCTATGCTGTATATTACATCCCTGCTTATGTATAAGTCAAAATTTGTACCTCTTAAGCCTCTTTGCCTATGCCTATTTTGCTCAACCCCTCCCCCCTCCCTGGCAACCATCAGTTTGTTCTCTGTATCTATGAGTCTGTTTTCATTTTGCTTGTTTGTTTTATCGTTTTTGGTTCTGTTTTTGAATTTTATTTTATTTATTTTTTATACAGCACGTACTTATTAGTTAACTATTTTATACATATTAGTGTATATACGTCAATCCCAGTCTCCCAATTCATCCTACCACTACCACCCCCCCCGCCACTTTCCCCCCTTGGTGTCTATATGTTTGTTCTCTACATCTGTGTCTCTATTTCTGCCCTGCAAACTGGTTCATCTGTACCATTTTTCTAGGTTCCACATATATGCGTTAATATACGATATTTGTTTTTCTCTTTCTGACTTACTTCACTCTGTATGACAGTCTCTGGATCCCACCACATCTCTACAAATGACCCAATTTCATTGCTTTTTATGGCTGAGTAATATTCCATTGTATATATGTACAACATCTTCTTTATCCATTCGTCTGTTGATGGGCATTTAGGTTGCTTCCATGACCTGGCTATTGTAAATAGTGTTGCATTGAACATTGTGGTACATGACTCTTCTTGAATTGTGGTTTTCTCAGGGTATGTGCCCAGTAGTGGGATTTCTGGGTCATATGGTAATTTTATTTTTAGTTTTTTAAGGAGCCTCCATACTGTTCTCCATAGTGGCTGTATCAATTTACATTCCCACCAACAGTGCAAGAGGGTTCCCTTTTCTCCACACCCTCTCCAGCATTTGTTGTTCGTAGATTTTCTGATGATGCCCATTCTAACTGGTGTGAGGTGATACCTCATTGTAGTTTTGATTTGCATTTCTGTAATAATTAGTGATGTTGAGCAGCTTTTCATGTGCTTCTTGGCCATCTGTATATCTTCTTTGGAAAAATGTCTATTTAGGTCATCTGCCCATTTTTGGATTGGGTTTTTTTTTAATATTGAGCTGTATGAGCTGTTTATATATTCTGGAGATTAATCCTTTGTCCATTGATTCGTTTGCAAATATTTTCTCCCATTCTGAGGGTTGTCTTTTCATCTTGTTTGTAGTTTCCTTTGCTTTGCAAAAGTTTTTAAGTTTCATTAGGTCCATTTTGTTTATTTTTGTTTTTATTTCCATTACTCTAGGAGGTGGATGGAAAAAGATCTTGCTGTGATTTATGTCAAAGAGTATTCTTCCCATGTTTTCCTCTAAGAGTTTTATAGTGTCCGGTCTTACATTTAGGTCTCGAATCCATTTTGAGTTTATTTTTGTGTATGGTGCTAGGGAGTGTTCTAATTTCATTCTTTTACATGTAGCTGTCCAGTTTCCCCAGCACCACTTATTGAAGAGACTGTCTTTTCTCCATTGTATATCCTTGCCGCCTTTGTCATAGATTAGTTGACCATAGGTGCATGGGTTTATCTTTGGGTTTTCTATCCTGTTCCATTGATCTATATTTATGTTTTTGTGCCAGTACCATATTGTCTTGATTACGGTAGCTTTGTAGGATAGTCTGAAGTCAGGGAGTCTGATTCCTCCAGCTCCCTTTTCCCCTTCAAGAATGCTTTGGCTATTCGGGGTCTTCTGTGTCTCCATATAAATTTTAAGATTTTTTGTTCTAGTTCTGTAAAAAATGCCACTGGTAATTTGATAGGCATTGCATTGAATCTGTAGATTGCTTTGGGTAGTATAGTCATTTTCACAATACTGATTCTTCCAATCCAAGAACATGGTATATCTCTCCATCTGTTTGTGTCATCTTTAATTTCTTTCATCAGTGTCTTATAGTTTTCTGAGTACAGGTCTTTTACCTCCTTAGGTAGGTTTATTCCTAGGTATTTTATTCTCTTTGTTTCAATGGTAAGTGGGAGTGTTTCCTTAATTTCTCTTTCAGATTTTTCAGCATTAGTGTATAGGAATGCAAGAAATTTCTGAGCATTAATTTTGTATCCTGCTACTTTACCAAATTCATTGATTAGCTCTAGTAGTTTTCTGGTGGCATCTTTAGGATTCTCTACGTATAGTATCATATCATCTGCAAACAGTGACAGTTTTACTTCTTGTTTTCCAATTTGTATTCCTTTTATTTCTTTTTCTTCTCTGAATGCCATGGCTAGGACTTCCAAAACAATGTTGGATAATAGTGGTGAGAGTGGACATCCTTGTCTTGCTCCTGATCTTAGAGGAAATGCTTTCAGTTTTTTACCACTGAGAATGAGGTTTGCTGTGGGTTTGTTGTATATGGCCTTTATTATGTTGAGGTAGGTTCCTTCTATGCCCACTTTCTGGAGAGTTTTTTTTTTATCATAAATGGGTGTTGAATTTTTGTCAAAAGCTTTTTCTGCATCTATTGAGATGATCATATGGGTTTTATTCTTCAGCTTGTTAATATGGTGTATCACATTGACTGATTTGCATATATTGAAGAATCCTTGCATCCCTGGGATAAATCCCACTTGATCATGGTGTTTGATCCTTTTAATGTGTTGTTGGATTCTGTTTGCTAGTACTTTGTTGAGGATTTTTGCATCTATATTCATCAGTGATATTTGATATTGATACTACAAAAATATTTTTTTTTTTGTAGTATCTTTGTCTAGTTTTGTTATCAGGGTTATGGTGGCCTCATAGAATGAGTTTGGGAGTGTTCCTTCCTCTGCTATTTTTTGGAAGAGTTTGAGAAGGATGGGTGTTAGCTCTTCTCTAAATGTTTTATAGAATTCACCTGTGAAGGCATCTGGTCCTGGACTTTTGTTTGCTGGAAGATTTTTTTTTTTTTTTTGCGGTACGCGGGCCTCTCCCGTTGCAAAGCACAGGCTCCAGATGTGCAGGCTCAGCGGCCATGGCTCATGGGCCCAGTCGCTCCACGGCATGTGGGATCTTCCCGGACTGGGGCACAAACCCACGTCCCCTGCATCGGCAGGCAGACTCTCAACCACTGTGCCACCAGGGAGGCCCTGCTGGAGGATTTTTAATCACAGTTTCGATATCATTACTTGTGACTGGT